TTCTGGTCTTCGCGTTTGGCTCTTTATCCTATTGTTTTTTTTTTGTTTCTGTTCTAACCAAAGTATACACCATTCATACATACATTTCGAAAACACTTATTTCATGATTTTATATTAGAAACGAGGCTTGCGAAATAATTGCTTGAATAATTCTATTCTATAGTAGAATTACGCTTGATGTATGTTAAATGAGCCGGTGGGAATCCTTAAAGTATAAAAAAAAGATTGTTGGTTCGTTGCACCATCTTTTCTTTTCTGTTCTTCTCTGTTTTTTTCCTATTTGGATCTCATTGCTATCGCTTGATCAAAGGGTTTAGTGAAACAACTGATATAATAAAAATAGATTGAGTAAAGAAGGAGAATACATCTATCTTTGTATAGAAAAGATGTCTACAAATGATTAGTGTGTCATTTAACATTTATCCTATAGTTATCGAAAATGCCGTAAAACAGAAAACGAAGGGCAATCAATTCAACCAAGATATACAATACATAATCGTAGCAAGAGAATTTCTAAACTCATGACAATAATTAACAGACAGATTATTGAGGTTCTACATAACAAAGTTATGTGATGCATTAACTTTATTTCACATGAATTATTTCAAACATAAACAAAATTTCTATAAAAGCAATAAAATTACTTTTAATATTAATGAATTAAAATTTGTTTTGAAAATTGAGATTCTTCAATAATAATCTATTTGTGCATCATTATAAATCTTTCTTTAATTGGAGAAAAAAAATTCAGATCTAATTGTTAATGTTCTGAATAAATAGAAATTGAGATAACAAACACCTATGACAATCGATTATTAGCTCTCTTAATGATATTTATATTTTCTAGATAATGGATATTTCAGAATTTGAAAAAAATTCTCTGTCAAATATTATATTACGTTCAACATATACTCCTTCAGCTAATGATAATGATACTGATAAATCATTCTTTCTTGGTATTGATGAAGCAGGTCGTGGTCCTGTTCTTGGTCAGTTGAAGAGAAATGTTTTTCAATATATATTTATCCGATTCTCTTAATAGGTCCAATGGTTTATTCAGCATTTTTTTGTGATGAAAATCATCTTTCAATTTTGAGTGATCTCGGTTGTGCAGGTAATTCGACATTGTATTGAAAAAAATTTTTTCATTGAACTTTTCTTTGATTAATAGAAGTAACAGGCGAATTTTCAAACTATCATTTTTGATTGAAAATTAGATTATATAAAAATTCTTATCTATTTAAAAATCTTTAATATCATGTTTGTTTTGTTAATTAGTTGCTAATAAAGATATTGACCGTATGAAATTCAATGTCCATGAAGGCTTAAGATTTGTTCTAATTAGTAGCATAAGCCTTCAGGCTATGTTGCTTCACTACTAATGGTCTAGAGGTCGAGTCATATTGCCACTGTTTCCATAAACAGTTATTGCATATGTCAGCAGTCGAGGGCAAGACTTAAAATAGATACGAATCTTTTTCTCGCTTTCATGTCAAAACTTTTCGGAATGGATAAAATCTTTAAAAAAAATCATTAAGATAAAACTAGATCATTCTTAAGGATTATAATGGAAAACATTCAAAAAAAAATTATCTCTGAAATTTTTCTACATATAAATATGTGTTTAATGGATGGCGCACAATCAATTATTTTCCTTTTTTTTATGATACTTGCCAACACGTTAGAAACTTTGTTTTAGACTCATTCGATCGAAAAAATTTCCCGCTCTACAAAGCTACTATTTCTCTTTTCCAAAGAAACTTATATCTGTTGGTGCAAAATATAAAAGATGAACATCTACGGAATCGTTTAACTTCAATAAGGTTAAAAGCCAAAAGCTTTTTCATAAAGATTTTGCTGAAATTTGAAATATCCGATAATGTTCTCTATAAAGTTCTGCATCTTTTTATTTATGTGTTAGTGCTTTAGAAGAAACATGTGAGAACAAGTTTTGAAATAAAACAATATGAAAAAAATCTTTTCTGACAAAATTACGTCATTTTTCTTTTCCTAATATTTCTATTCTTGCATTTAATGATTCTAGCATTTTGTTTAGAGTTAAATTTTACACTTATTAGCATGTGAACAAACGTTTCATAGGTCAAACTTCGCTTTAGAAAACATAGTTTTACAGAATGTGTCTCGAAATATTACTAGAAATGTTGATTCAAATTCTTTTTCTTCTGAAAGATAGAAAAAGTTATAGAAGTAGAGAGTAAAAAATTTTTTTCTTAATTTATGTCAAATACTTTACTTTCATCATTGTTCATGATAAGAAAAGATTTACTAGATGTCTGCAGAAAGTCGGAAATTGCAATTAGATGACTAAGTAGGCGCTCATCTTTTAAGTTTTATGCCAACAGTAGAAAGCTATTTGAAAAACAAAGACAATAATTTTCTAGAGCAAGAGATTCTCTATTGAATACACCTAAAATGAAATCTTTAATGTGTTGGGAAGTGTTCTAAGCAGAGAAGAATCTTTTATTAAGCATCATCCGAAATTACTTTAAGAAATGAACTGTAAATTAATATTTTCTTATTTATATTAATAGATTCTAAACAATTAACAGAAGAAAATCGTTCATCAATATTTGCTAAATATGAAGAACATAAAAATTATCTTGGTTTTATACTTAAAGTACTTTCACCTCATATGATCTCAACATGTATGTTACGACGGTATGTATTCACTTTTCATTTCAAGTCCAGATATTTGCTTTCCTGCAATTCTTTTTTTTAGAGATAAATATAATTTAAACGATATATCTCATGGTAAATATATTAAATTCTTCTATTAATTAAACATCGTGTTTGATTTTCTAGACGCAGCCCTTGAATTGATACAATTAGTTCTTGATCAAGGTATCAATGTTAAGCAGGTATAAAAAACAGAAAAACAAAGAAAGGTTCACCTTCATCCTACAAAAATCATTTGCTTTTTTCAAAGATCTTTGTCGATACAGTAGGTGATCCAGATAAATATGCAAATAAAATATGTTGTCGTTATCCAAAAATTAAAATAACTGTATCAAAAAAAGCTGATTCACTGTATCCAGTTGTATCTGCATCAAGTATTTGTGCTAAAGTAGTTCGTGATCAAATTGTTGAAAATTGGAAAATACATGAATTTGATGAAGAAAAACAATCGATTGAATATGGTTCTGGTTATCCTAATGGTAAAAAAAAATACATTCTACCTTTGTTTTTGTTCATCATTTAATGTAAATAGATCCTCAAACAAAGCGATTTTTAACTGAATCTATTGATAAAATATTTGGTTTTCCAAAATTTGTTCGTTTTAGTTGGTCAACAGCATCAACTATTATTGAAAATAAATGTATTAAAGTAACTTGGTAAGAAAGTCTTCTTTTTCTTTTTTTAATTTATATATAGATAATTATTTTCTTATGTTTGTCTTGAAGGGATGATGACGGGAATGAAAATACTACAAGTACAATTCCAACAAAAAAACGTAAATCTGAAGTAGTGGAAACAACAACAAAAACACTTTTCAGTTATTTTTCTCAGAAAACTGTTACTAAAAATGATGCTGTTCATCGAGGTATATCGGGCAGTCGTTTTTTTCGTGCTGCTCATCTTAAACCAGCTCTTTTTTCAATGTAATTAATTGTGTATTATAACCAATAGAAACTATTTCTTATTAGAAAAATCATATGATATATTAACAAATAAATTTATGTGTATTGCTAAATATTTATTTGATTCAAATGAATTAACTATTGTATAATACATCTGTCTAATGGAAATACACAGAACATATCTATTTTTCGAGTTTATTATTCATATAAGAGAGGTTAACATCTCTTGTATAAATGATAAATGCAAACATAAGATATGTTCTATTTATTTTCATAATTAGTATATGGCTGAATAGCAATTGTTCAACGAAGAAAAAACTCTGTTGTAATTTTTCTTATTTCGAACGGATAAGTATCATTTACATTAACTTCTCTTAGAAATAAAAAGAAAATATCATGAGCTTTCATATCTTTTATGATCAATCGAGAAATTATATCTCTGTTGATTTGTGAAATATGTCATTGATTATCTTGTAATAGGTGGTTGCATTACACTACGATAATACAAAACTTTTCTCTGATCTATTGTAAGTAGAAGACGAACTATTAATCATTCATATTATATCAATAAATTCCTAAAAACTACATATCAAGGAAATGAAAAAGATAAGACCATGCTTTATGTTTAGAGTAATATCTATGAATAAAAACGTTTACATTCTAATTAGTTTTTTCATAACAATATTATCCTCTTATTTATAGAATAGATTGTGTATGACTTGAGGCAACTCTCAGTAAATATGTCCAAACATATTGTATACGGGTAAATAACTTCTGGCTACTATCTGAAAACTATTACTTTCAATATAGTATAAATATACTTGAGAAGGAAAAACAATTCTCTAGACATACTAATCATATCTCTTTTTTTTCTTCTTGTATGACAATTTTATATAGTGCCAGTAAATTTTAGGAAACTTTCTGTAATACATTTAGATGTATACGGTGATATACTTTATTTCAATTGTAAGACTGCTTCTCGGTTGGTTGATGACATGAAGGGTGTAAACAGCTGTTTACACAAGATGCAACAATCAATCGATGGTATAATTACAACAACAATTTTTTCTTGTCAATAGAATCACACTGTCACATGTGACAAACGATAAACAATTATATAATTTAGACTTCTCTAAATGTCATAGATAATAAATTGATTGAAACTTATTCTTGTGCAAAAAACAAACAATCATTTTTTTTCCATTAATTGATATAGAATTGGATAATCAAGAATAATATTTATTAATTTTTGTGTTATTTATATATTTAATGCAAAATTATAAATAAAATAAGTTATACAATTCATATTGAATACATATAAATTAAACATAGAAGAATAATTTAGGCAAAATATCTATGAAAATCTAAAGGGACGAATGAAAAAAAAACAGGATCTTTATTTTACAATAAAAAGGGAAGATTAATTAAAGATACAATAATTAAAATATTAGATACGGTTTTACAGGTTATAGATGATTTTTGTTCTATTTGATTTTCTTCATTATTAATATTATTCCAATTTGTATAAATACGAAGAATATTTTTTATTTTTTCAATCATCTCATTGCTATTACATAAATGTCTATTACATTTGTATTCAATTAATTCAACTTCATTTGTTATTGATTTTGGTACATAAGATTCAAATTCACTAAAAAATGTTGGAGTATTATCAGAAGTACAATATTTTTTTCCATTAATATTATTTACAAAACATAAGCCATCTCGACATCGTACTAATGATGTATTACCGGTTGTATTACTATTTTTGCAACGACGCAATGCAATTTGCTTTTCCGATGAAGATTGTCTATATAATGTTGACTTAATTTTATCTATTTGTAATTGACCCTTGGTAATTAAATGTTCAATAGTATTGAAATAAAATTGACGTGCACAATCATATTGTGTCCTACATCCATATTTACGATGAGTTATATTTGTTTGACCTGAAGTTTGACTAAAACCCAACCACATTGTTTGAATAAGAAATTCAGATCGATTATATTCTTCAAAAATATGGGTATCATTACTAGCTTTAAAAGTAATGTAAATATTCTTAGCGTCGTAATCGATACGATATTCGATTATACAAATTGCAGCGTAATCATAAATATCATTAAAAGTATTATTATCTTGACATTCTTGAGGTATATTCAATGGTTCAAGAAATGGAACGGTGATTTGATTACATTTTGATGTACAGAGAAGATACGTAGCCGAAGAAGTTTGAACAAATAAGCATAGGAATAGAATTACACAGACGACGGATCGCATGATCATCGTTATCGATCAATAAAATGATGGTTGCGTATGGTTTACTTTGTCACTTGATGGAAATTTATCTGAATTGGATCAGCGAAAAAAAAACAGCAATGCAGGAAGAAGAAAAAGCCTATCAACATATGAATACACACATAGTAGATTCTTGCTCTTAACGACCTTTTGAGGTGTAGTTATTTATTCCGATAAACATATTTATGGCTTGTAAATAGTGCAAAGAAAATTACTGATCAACAAGGCCACAAAAGAATAAGAGAAAAAAAGAACAAAGAAATCCGGTATATACATATGAGTGCAAGACAGCGTTAGCTTATTCCATTATAATATTATCATAGATGATGAGCAATTTCATCAGAAAAAAAAAGCAAATATATTAGCAAGAAACTAGCGGAAAATAAGTTTGTCTTAATGGATTCAATGGTTAAAACAAAGAAAAGAAAATAGACATACATTATTCTCAGTTGACAATAATGTGGAGATACTGGTGATTGAAGCTAGGATAAGTGTATTCTCCTTGTAGAATAATGTGTCTTCAATCATGCATAGGTCATCACAATCAAATACAAAGAAACATAATCGATTTTACAACATTCACTTAGAAAAAGAAATATGAATAAAATATACCCTTAACTACCTCTATCTATCTTTAATGTTTACTGATTATTATTCTAGATAAGCAAAGATTCTTAATGCTCACAGTGTAATTGTCGACAACTTTCTTATAGACTGATGTTTTTGAGATATAATCCAAAAGAGGAAATATTTTCTTTTTGTTTAGTTTATAGTATGTGACAGAAAGAAGAGAAAGAGAAAGATGATGCCATCTTAACTAATTGGAGTCTGACGGCGAACAAAAACAGATCCTATAATTTGTAATATAAGCCTCATAATATCTATGCTGTCATAGAATGTTTTAATTAGACTAATGATTGACTAGTTATTTAAATTAGTATTTGTTCATTCTATTGATGTCTTCGTTTTGTATATGAAATATAGCAATAAGAAATAAGTCTCAATAGTTTCATAGTTCTTATTGATGTAGTTTTATTACTTACATATGTATTTTACTAGCATAAACATCATTCTCATCTTTTCTTTCATTCTTCCTAACTAGCTTTTAAATTAATACGACATTTTTCATCGATTTAAATAGACATTACTCAAATAAACCATTATTATAAACAATATTTATTTTTGTAAACAATTGTGTTGTGATTATATAATGAACTCCTCCGTTTAAGTATTTAATGCGTAGAAATGCACTCCTATGTAAATATATCGATATGTTAAGTATGAAAAAAAAAGACTCTCGTTAGAAATTTTTATTGAGATTTTATCATCAATATCGAACAAAAAATTACTTGTCTTTTTATTTTATGTATTAATTAAAATATATGCATGCTTAGAATAAAAAAGGATCAGTACATTATTGATTTATATGTTACAAAATTCAAATTTTGACAACTTTAATCAAAAAGTAGAAACTCAGAACTGACATAGAAGAAATGTAATGACACATTTTCAGCAAACATATCAAAAGATTCAGAATAAAGCTATTTTCAAATTTTTTACATTTATTTAATTATTGATAATTGAGAATATCCGAATATTATAATCATTATAAATGTAATGCGAAGCACAACGAGTTGTTCTTTAGTTTCTCGTCGGATGCATCAAAATTAGTAATTTTCTGCAACGATGCTCTTGAGACACAAAGTCAGAAAATACTCGTTCAAACGTGAACATAAAATTTCATGGTTGACTCAATACTATCCGTTTTCTGTCTTTCAAGTGGATGTTCCATTTTCTGATAGGAAACAATCCAAAAGGGCATATTTTTGAAGATCTTGTTGTTTTTTAAGCTTCAAGATGATTGAAGTGAAAACAAGAACAAAGGTTAGACGTGATTCTCTTTGCTTATACATTACTCATCTGTAAATACAAATGATGATAAATAGTTCATCAGACTGATTATTAGGCGATCAATTGATAGTCATTATCAAAAAAAATTGATATTGTTTAATGAAATTCTTTTATTTATATACTAATTTTCAATTTCTTTCTGACTTCGATGAACAAATTGAACGAAGCGTTACTTTCCCAATTTACAGCAACAGAGACAAAGACAAAGCATAGTTTCAGTAAAGCGTAAATATATTTTTAGAGAAAATTATGTTGCTCTCAATCGTAAAAACAATTATTTGTTCGTAATGAATTATTAACTTTCGAAGATTCGCACCACATTCAACAGTCGAGTGAAATTCAAATGTTTATCTAGCTTATTACCTAAGTGTTGCACATATATTAACATTCTGATATTTCAGTGTTTGGATTTTTTGTATTGATTTTAAGCGTTTAGCTATAAGAACGTGGTTGCCATAGAGATTCTGTTTTAATTTCACATGAAGAATGCGTCGTCATAATGACAGTATTGTACAAAAATCATTTATTCCTTTTTCAATTTTTCTGTTTTAGTACTGTTTCTTTGTTATCAAATTTACAATGATTGAAAAACATACAATCCGTACTTACAGGTAGTATTACAGATGATCGCTAATTCAAATATTTTTTTTTGTCATAAATAATACAGTATAGATTGTTAGAGATCACTGACAGAAATTCTGTATCATCGACTTTTTTTGCATATTTTAACTGCTTTACTATGGAAAATAATATGTAATATTCTGCAGATTTAACAAAACCATAAACTTAAGAAAACTTTTCTTGCTTTTGTGATCGAAAGTCTTTAGATCTTTCATCCTTTTTTTTTGTTACTGTTCTATGTTCGTTTTAAAGCATTCTCTATCTTTCAGTCATATCTAAAGAATTAAAATGTATTTATAAAAGTCGGAAAACTTGAAAACATGAAATATTCTTGCTGAAAAATATACAAACTTACACAGTATTTTGCTGTTTTTCAAAAATGAATAACTCGAGAAAAAACAAGTGAAGAATCATTTCTGCTTGTCGATCACAGTACATCTGATCTAGACGAAACTTTCTTCTAGTAATACTAGAAAGTGTTAAGAATGTATGGTTATTGTTTGTTTCAAAAGATGACGCACCGTGAATTTGTGCGAGGCTTTAGAGAAAAAGTTCCACAAAAATACTAGAAAAAAAACATACATTTTTAGGGATGCTCTGACTGTTTTGGTGCTTTTGTTTGAATGGAAGTAGATAAAAGGAAATAAAAACAAGTAGACAATCCAGATAATATCTGGTATATGTAAAAATATTTTTAGCTCTATCAAACGTACTGTCATTGAGAAAAGAGAGATGATGATGCAAGAATTGTTTTCTTTTTAGAAATCCAATATTTGCTTCAAAGAAGCATCGATGAATTCTGAATTTATGAAAATATTTGCTTTATTTTCTGTAATCTATTTGCTATGAGATTTTCAAAAATTTCTGACGAACTGTTCCCTAAAAGCATTGAAACGAGAAAAAATCTTCTTAAATAATGAATGATTCCATTGATAAAATGAAATAAATATTCATGTGATTTCCAAGAAGAAGAAAAAATACGCATAATATAGCAAAAAAACTGCACACGAGTATAAATATATGATAATTTAAATGACATTGTTTATTCGGTTTTTATCGAAGATAACAAATCAGAATGTTTAAAGAATTACCAACATCTATTTCTTTTGATGACAAATATAACAGACCATAAGGGAAAAACTAGAATATATTATAAATAATCATGTGTCAAAAATAACAAACATATTTTCTAATAATAAATATGAATTCAATCTGACTCTGATTTAAATACCAATAGATAGAGTGATGTGCTACTCTTACTTTTTTTAAAACTAACTAAATAGCACGTTTTTATTGTCGATTGCAGTCCAAAAGCGATTATTTGTCGAGAAAGGACAAAGAACAAATTTCATCATCGCATATGTGTGGCATACACTAAATAAATATACTTAGTCGACAAAAACATGTTGTCAATAACGCTTGCTATCATCGTCCTTTTTTTAACTGTTGTGTATTTTTATTTTAAATCAGTCTATTTTACATTACGTGGTCCAATACCTGGTATTCCACCACAATTTCTGTTCGGTAACTTACTTCAAGCTGGAATAATTTCACGAAAATCAGTACAGCTACCAGATGTTTTTACACAATTCCATGCTAGATTTGGGGACGTCTATCAGTTTTGGTATGGTTCCATGCGTTTAATAATGATTAATAGTCTTGAAGATGCACAACATATATTTTCTAATAGACATATTTATGATCAAGGAGATATTTTTACTGAAAATATGAAATTAATGAATCCAAATGGAATTATTTGCTTGAAAGGTTAATATATAACTTTAAAAAAAAAATATTTTCTTCATTATAAATAAATAATTCTAGGTGCTCAATATAAACGACATGCTAGTGTTATAAGTTCATTATTTCGTCGTGGAAAAATTCTTGTTCATTTGGACACAATTATTGATTGTACAGATAAATTATTAGATAGATGGCGTATTCATTATAATGATCCAACCAAAATTCATTTGAATATGATAGAACAATCACAACAATTATTATTAGCTATATTTGGTTTCATTGCTTTTAATTATGATCTAGAAACACTTGATGACAATTCAGAAGATAGTAAAAATGAATTGACTCAAGCATTTTATTCATTATTAAATACAATGCAAATAGTATTTCAGTTACCAAAATTTTTGGGACGAGTCTTTCTCTTTTTAAATTTTAAAGCCCGACGAGCACGAACAATTATTGATCGATATCTAGAAAAAATGATCGAACAAGAATTAAATACAACAATTAATATGAGAATAGAACGTAAACGAACATGTTTTATTGCGTCACTAGTTACTTCTCTACAAGAAGATGAAAAACTTGAAGCAACTAAACCGGAAGAAGAAAAAAAAGGTAAATTCCCAGGTCGATCGTTCCGGCCACCGGATATTGCAGGAACCGGCAGGAAAATGCGGAAAAAATCACCGTATCCTGCAGGAAAACACCGGAAATAGCCGGAACATGGAAGCAGTAGTCCGGCCGGAAATTCTCCGGATTTTTTCCGGTGAATTCCGGCCAATTTCCTGTGTTTTCCGGCAGGAACCGAGCGGAAAATCAGCGGAAAAAATTCCGAAAATTTCCGGCCGGAATACTGCTTCCATGTTCCGGCTATTTCCGGTGTTTTCCTGCGGGAACCGGCCGGTACTTTTCGACCTGGGTTATTTAAGAATGATGACAAAAGGAAACAAATGATCTGTTCAATTGTAATTATTTAAGGACTTTCACGAATAGAAGTCATGCATGAAATGCTTGCATTTCTTTCTGCCGGTTATGGCACAACATCAACAGCACTTTCTTGGTTTATTCATTTTATGAGTAAAAATCCAGAAGTACAAAAGAAAATAAAACAAGAACTTTCAGAATATAATGGTCAACGTCTTTCAATCGAACAGACTGATTCACTTATTTATTTAGATTGTGTTCTTCGTGAAGTATTTCGTTTAGCAGGGCCAGTATCAGGCACTGTTCGAACATTAACTACTGATGATCAATTACCTAAAAGTGGATTTCAATTAAAAAAAGGAGAATCAGTTATGATTTCATTCTATGCTTTAGCAAGAGATAAACGTTATTGGGCCGACTTATATGATCTAAATGAATTTCATCCTGAAAGATATTTAAATGATCCAGATCATAAAAATAATCTATCAGCATTAATGGTATTTGGTGGTGGACATAGACAATGCATAGGTCAAGATTTAGCTCGATTTGAATTAAAAGTTATTTGTGCTAGACTTATGCAATTTGTTACATTTGGTGATGGTGGTCCTGAACTTAATGCTGGAGGATATGATGTTACGGATACGGTTAAACCAAAAAAACTTGCTGTCACTATAACCTTTGATTAAATTTTTTAGATAGAAAATAGTTAGCTAGTTTAGTATGAGTGTTGATTTGTTTTCAAAAGAAGCATGATATTTTCTTAACAATAAATAGAGAAATAATAAATCAACTTTTGATTTCAATGAATGCGATATAATGTTTTACTGCTGTAAGGTTTATTATTCAAAACTTCAATTAATAAAGTAACGATGATCAAGATTGTGGATCTATCGTTCACTCCTAATAGTAGTGCATCGTTACTAAGTAAAGCGCTGAAAATTATCTTAACATATATATATAGAGAGAGAGTAATAGTGAAGACAGTAACGCATGGTAAAAAAAGTAATTTCAGATTCAGTCCGACTTATTGAATCGGAGATAGAGCCCATCAAATGTGGATCTAAAAAAAACTTTGATGCATATGATAATATTTTTTGGAATTTCTCTGAATTCTTGTTTGTTTTATGAAAATCTTGAACTTATAGAAAAACACCAACAAAACTCTTGTTGACGATAATATCTGAACCTAGTTAACATTGGGTTCGATCCGATGGACTCTAGTCGAGCAGTAATCTATTTCAAGAAAATAGCTGAACTTTAAAACATAAACCTTTCGCAAACGAGAAAACCTAACTCGAGATTTTCGACATAGTTCCTAATGATTTGGATTCCTAGATCTCGAAAACGTTACAATAACTTTACCATGTGTTCAGCATCTTTACCGTTAATCTATACGTACATGTTTAGACAAGTGCAAACTTGTATTTAATACCGGTGCATCAGAGATACAGTATATGGCTGTCACCGCTGAACTCCTAATTTCAGTACTATTTGTGGTATTTTCTACTCCATAATTAAGCTCTAGAAAAGTGTAAATCTAGTTTTTTAATAATTGCAAAGGTAAGAAACACATTCATTGAAATACATATTATATGATAAACTATTATGTTTACAATTTAGTATAAACTTCTAAATAGATAACAAAATTTATATTAGTCAAAGTCAAATATGGAAATCAATTGAGCAGAAAACTCAAGTCCTTAACTTGTAATGCTTTATGCAAAGCTATGATTCATAATTGAATTATAATACTATTTCATAATTCAAAAGTAAACATCTAACTAAATTGCTGTTATGCTTTCTTCAGATTGGACTTCATCGTACAAAAAGTAAAAGAAAAACATTTAAAATTTGATGCTTTCTTATTTTAACAACGACCACTTCGAGGTTGGTCTATTTTTTTGATGAATTAGGATAAATAGTACATCACACAGTCAACGACAGTTTTTTGTCAAATAATAAACATGTAACGTATTTCTTTGATTTTATAATGTTAAGAAAACTCTGAATAATTTTTTTGAAAGAAAAGTGTCCTTGCATTACTTTACTCATAGAGAAAGATGTTGAGCGAACATTTTAAAATCTATACATTATTTCTCTCAAAAAAGAAAGCGAAAAAAAAAGAATTATGAAACAGAACGACCTTGTGTTCGACAATGACAATTTTTTAATACAGAATTTCTTTTTTTTCACGTATTCTCTTTAGTCTTTCAACATCAACAAATATAACTAGTAAATTGTTTTTCTTTGATTGTTTGAAATTAATCTTTTTTTTTTCAGTAGCTACCTGTGAATCACTAAAGACAACTTCTGTAAACAAGCTAGCAATTATCGCTGTAAAGAGACGAATTTTGAATTCTTATTCTATTTCACTTTTGTGTCGAATTTGTCAACTTTCATTTCATCATTAGTTATATATGAGTGAGTAAATATATGTATAAATCGAATCAAAGAAATTAAAACGCAATGGGTACACAGTTATCAAAAAAAAATTCACCTCGACTACCACACATGAAATATAATTTAAATCATTTTGCTGTTATTACAGCTTTTTTTAATCCAATTAAATATAAATCACGTTATAATTTATATCATAAATTTAATAAGCATATGTCATGTTGTGGCATTAATTTATTTACTGTTGAATGTATATTCGATACAGATGCAGCATTAGGTTTACCCCAACAAAAATTTGAAGTAACACGGGCAAATGAGCCTCGACATTTGCAAATCATAGCTCCTTCAGTTATATGGTTAAAAGAAAATTTAATTAATATTGCTGTTAAACATTTACCTTCGTATGTTGAATATGTTGCATGGCTTGATTCTGATATAGAATTTCAAGTTTGTTTATATTGTATTTTTCTCAAAGAAGTTTTTGTATTTTGTCATTCTATTTGTTTATTATAGCGTTATGATTGGCCTTATTTAACTATTGATCAATTACAACGGTATCCAATCGTACAATTATTTCAAATGTCTTTCTTCTTAGGACCATCAGGAAAAAAGGAAATCTTACGTCGTGATTATTCATTTGTTTATTCAATTACACATGGAAAAACCATTAGTTCTCGTCGTGCATTAGACTGTTATTTTCATCCTGGTTATGCCTGGGCAATGCGCCGTGAAACTTTTGATGATATTGGTGGTCTTCTGGATTTTTCTATTCTTGGTTCAGGTGATATTCATTTTGCTTTTGCATTAATAAATCGTATTGATGAAACCATTCCATCTGGAATACATGATGATTATCGACGTTTAGCTAATGCATGGGGAGAACGAGTTGCTCAAAAAGCTGGCAATGGTATTCATATATCATATACTCCAGTTAATATATGGCACCATTGGCATGGCAGCCGTCGCGATCGAAGATATAATGAACGATGGTATGATGAAACATGATGAAGTTCTTTTTTTTAGTTTTGATACTAAGAAATGAGAATCAAAACACTTACTTAGGTGATTATCTTGTCGGTATTCGTCTAGCATATGTATACTGTTTCGTGTGGTGACATTAAAGATGATGTTATCTTTTACAGAAAAAAGTGTTTCACCTTCTTATATTATGTAATATCAGAGAAGATGAAACACCAACATTAATGTTTCTACATATTCACAGTGAAACTCCTACTAAACAAATACTTATCTTATGTCAATATACACAGAGAGATATAAATTCAATTTTTTCTAGCAATATAAAATGTTTGCAGATTAAAGTATTGAAAAAAAAACAGAAAAGGATAAGATGAATTTTCTATTAAAGGCCATGTTTAGTTTCTTTTAGTACAATTAAGTTGACGTTGAAAAAAGAATATGAAAAACTGATGCAATTTGATTCATAGATCATAAAGAGCTGAAAACAAACAGCATGTCATTTCGATATGTTTTCTTTTCATGAATTTGTCAATCAGAAAATTTCTCTTAATTAATTTTAATATTCTTTCATTTCTAGGTCACTTCTTGAAAGATTTCAATTTTCTCCATTGACCGATCTAGAAAAGAATGATAGAACAGGTTTACTTCGTTTAACAGATACTTATCCTTATAATCAATCAAATTTAGTTCAACGTTTAAAATTACTTGAAACAAATATTATAAATTATTTTCGATTACGTGATGAAGATAATATGAAAAAACCTATACCAACATTAAATACAAATGTACTATCAAATGCACCATCACCTTCGTCAAATCAATTTTTTCGTCCAATTATGAATGCATCAATGCATTCTGACGCATCTTCAATAGAAGATAATCGAAGATCCCAGGATTTTGTACCTCGAGATTATTTATCTGGATATCAATCCCATGATAGTACTATTCATGAAATTGTCCTTTAAATATAAAAATTTTTAAATTACTATTCTTGTCTATAACAAAAAAAAAACTATTGTTTAGTTGTTCGGTTATTGTATTGACTTAATATTAAATAATCGCAAAACTTGACATTGGTAGTTTTATGTTAGGATGAAGAAGCCATCATACATTTAATTATATAGTATTTTCATTTATTTTTAAGTAATTTGAATCAATAAAATGCGATAGAAAATAATGAAACTAACTTTAATCTCAGCGAGATTTTGATAAACATATGTTGTAACCAGATATTCAAAATCTATTTCAATTATTGTAACAAAAGAAAACAGTTAAAAAATTTGAAAAAAAATTTATGAAATCGTATTTTTCAACATCACCAACATGCTAAACCGTCCTTAAAAGATAAGGACGGTTTTTAATGACGATGAAAAGTAATAGAGATACTAGACACGCAGTATGGTCATAATATAATTACAATAAAAATAAATTTTTTTCTTAGAAAGATACAGACTATCTTGTAGAAGAGACATTCGGGCATCGCAGCATCAATGTATCGCTTTTCTTAATTTATGTGAGAAATTTTTGTTCTCACAAATAATTCTATTTATTTATTTCGAATATCACTAAGAGATACTTGAGTAAAATATTCGAAATTTTTTTAAACATTCGCGCAGTGTTCAGAATTGAAGTGAAGTCAGTAACGCTGCCACAAACAGAACGAAACTTTTGACGATTGAGCGATCGTGTGTTCGTGATCTCGTCCTACCACTGAATAGTCCTTAGAAGAATTCAAAGTGATCAAGAATTTGTCAATATAATACTTCAAATAGTTTTTTTCATTATTCATCAGTTGATAGAATATTTGATTTCGTTATGACCGAATGTTCTTTTGAAAGAACATTTTTTTAATAATGTCGCAAAGTAAAATTAAATATTAATATGGATTCACGAAACAACTTCAAACGATGTTCAAATAATAATAGGACCTTCAATGACTGAAGCAGCAGTTGCTTCCATGTCTTTATAATCAACTATACCTAAAACTGTTCGTGACAAATTTTTCAAAGATGTCCTATAAGATAAAGAAAGGAAGAGATGGTTAGCTGAATGTTTATCATGTGAGACACCGAAATGATTTTTTGATGCCTTGGATGTTACTTTAGATTTTCATTCAACTTCCTCAAGAACATCATAGATAAGCTTTCAAGCTATGGTGATTACATAAATTAAATGAATTAAAAACTGTCTTTAGTGAATCACAAAAAATAAAATAACAGAACATTTTCGAAAAGCAAGTCATGCTTTACAACTTTCACCATATCATAAAATTCATTCTTCTTTGAAATAGGATAAAAGCGACATTTTCTAATTGTTTCATGAATAAAAGAAAATTTGATGAGAACTGGCTTGGATTTTCATTTGACTTGAATTATTTTTAATTAGTTATAATTTGACTTGAGTAGAAAAATAGCTGACTTGCCCTTCTCTGACATAAATTTTTTGAACAAAACTTTGGAATATAATCAATAAACTATGGACGAATAAAAACATGTATGGAGGCACATATAATTGTCTCATGGTAACCATAAAATATAAAACAACGATCGAAACGATCAGCTGGGAGACAGCAGACGGTGAGCTCAGAAAAAAAGAACAACATATGTACCGTCAATATTTTTAATAATTTAATCCAAAATTTGTGTCAGATAAAAAAAATAATGTTTCAAACAACAAATGTAACCTCTTCTGCGGTTCCAAATGCTGCTGTCGTTCGTCCTAGTTTTCAAATAATGAATACATCAAATAATCATCATACACATGTACCATCTTCTACTACGACAAATCCTTCATGGCGTTTAACAACACCACCACCATCAGTTGTTTCAATATTAAATGGAAATTCTTCAACATTTTATATAGCAACACAATCGTCAACAACAACGAGTAATATTATTCGTCAATCTACACAGACAGTACGTCATATAACACCATCATTTACAATAATCAATAATAGTAATACAACAATAAGTGGACAAATGCCAATAATATCATCTTCAAATATTAATTTACCATCGGACACTTGTGTTGATACATCTATTCTTGGACGATTGACAACATCAACAGTTCAACGGCAACAAACACCTTGTGAAAATTTTGAAGAACAGGTGGAAAAAAATGAAGACATTTTCAAGAATTATCTTTATCAAAAAAAAAATAAAATAAAACTTTGTCTTTCTTTTTTTTTTTAGACCTCTTCACTAGGGAATGATATAGATATAGAACGTACTCAACAAGATTCTGAAATTGAATTATTTGTAAATAATATTGTATGTTCATTTGCACTTGGTTGTAAATTGAATCTACGTAAAATTGCGATGGAAGCTGCAAATGTTATTTATAAACGTGATCATGCGGCAAGTTTTATTTATTAAAAAAATGTATAAAACTAAAACTAAAAATTGTTACTTTTCTTTGTTCTTTCATATAGATGGTATTGATGAAGATACGAAATCCATATTGTTCAGCCAACGTCTGGTCATCGGGCAAAGTGATAGTAACAGGGACAACGAGGTGTGTGTATAAAAAAATTTTAAAATAGTTGTATCACATATAAAGTGTATGCTGCTACGTATTCCAGTGAGGATGATGCCCAACGTGCAGCACGACGTATTGCTCGATGTTTACAACGGCTTGGATTTAAAACCAAATTTCGAAATTATCGAATTGTCAATTGCCTTGCAACATGTACAATGCCATGGCCAATTGATATTATTAAATTAAGTCGAATGTATCCAGAATGTGTCAGGTAAAGAAAAATTTTACAAAAGAAAAAAAAAACAAAATATTTGTTTTTTTTTTATTGTATTGAATTTATTTAGTTATGAACCCGAAATTCATCCGGGTGCTACAGTCAGATTAAACAATAAAGTTGTTCTCAAAGTTTTTACGACTGGTAGTGTTACATTGACAGGTAATATGAAGATATATCTCGTAGAAAAACAAATAACCTTACTATTAACGATTATTTTATTTTCAATGACCTACTTTTAATTTTTGTGTTCGAAATATTTAAACAATTGTTTTAGATTCTGATGATGATCTCATTCTCTACGAAGTTATGGGTTTTGTTTTTTTTTTAATGTCACTGTCAATTTCGTGAGATTAAGGCCTATTCAGTTGTCAAATTGCAATTTCCTTTTTTTTTATCAAGATAAAAAAGAGATTTGCATGATTATGTGTTTATCAAGAGCGGTGTTAAAAATAAAGTATTGCATATGAAAACATAGAGAATGGTTTGCTCTATGTGTTGACGGTTTTGCTATAGTTCCAAGTGTTTTTGTTCAGAAGAAACAAAATTGAAAGCGAATACTTTTTCCTACTATAAATTCATCGCAAATAACAATTCAGATAGATTAAAAAGAAATTTTCTTTTGTTATTTCGACATTTTGTTTACCCAACTATTTGTTTCAAACCGCTAAACATTACATTCAAAGATGAAGAAGTTTATATAGAATATCTTTTCATTTTTCTTTTTAGTTTCCACATCTATATAATTGACCAGAATAACTATCTAATGAGATTAGATTTAAAATTTTGAAACACTTGTTAAATATGTCTAAAGTTAACAGCAAAAATGGTCTATTTATTATGAGTCATCTATTATATGTCAGATTGCAGCTTACGCCCATTTTTTAACCTTCTATATCGTGTAAATGAGAGAGATCAGTAAATGTCAGGCAGCTAACAATCTAGTTTATAGACATCTTTTTCATCTATCTTATATTCGTTTGATCTTCTTATCAGTCTTCATTATAAGATGTCATCAAACGAAACAGAATTGAACACTCAATGTAATTTAGAATGTTTATCATTTGCCACAAATTGCAGTTCCCTAAATTGGTCTCTAAAAAAGATCCCTAAATTCATCCCTACTTGGTCACCAGAATATACGATAGCGTTTCACGTATCCATAAATAGGGATTCGATTCAGGGACTGATTCAGGGAACCACAATTTGTGGCAAATGATAATCTACCGTAATTTAACAGAGTATTATGACGTGATATTTTGCTTCTTTATTAATAATAGTAGAAGACCAAAAGATGAGAATAAATGTAAGAAGTTAAATCAATCGATCGTCACCTGAAATATTGCTAAATTTCTTCAGGTCAGAATATCAGTTTTCAGTATAAAATTAATCGATCAAGAACTGTCGTGATGCTGTGTTCGTATTAGTCATCGAGTTTATAAAACGATTGTTTTCATATAGAAACATGCAATATATTTGTATATAAATGATTGGCTATCTTAAGTTTTTATAAGTAACCGAATGCTTTCAACAAGAAAAGAAACCTTCAGTTATATTAGAAGGAATATAAATTCATTAAATTATTATGTTGTTTTCACACTTTGAAAACTTTCGAAGAATGTCAATATAATTTCTTGACAGTAAATATTAAAAAAAATTTATTTTTCATTACTTAATATTTTTATCTTTTATCGTGAGTTTCTTATCAACTTAATGACTAATCTCAGAACGATGACGAAGGTCTCCGGAAACAAGCAAATTTAATTGGAACTGGTCGGAAGCATGAGAGAAAGTTGCAGTATCCGATCGGAAATCAATGGAACTCGAAAGCAGTAATCCAAATCAGAAAGTCTGTGAATTATCTCCGCAACTTCTGTTCATTTCCACCGGAAACGATAGGGAAATTGACTGGAAGTCACTGGAAAAAATACGCAGACTTTTTGACACGAACTACTGCTTCCAAGTACTCTCGATTCTCTGTCAGCGATAACGTAGACATCAGATAAAAAAATGCAAGTGATCTTTGACGGAATTGAAACACTAACTTACACCCTTCACTAGCGACCAGTTTTTTAGCTAAAGAAACTTTGTTCAACTATTGAATCCATTGGAGAACTCTATGGCAAACAAGAGTTGGACTATAACGCATATATAGTCCGATACTACAACTTCTGCTCTATCGATTTATAAGAAAAATTTGTATTCTGAAAAATAGTTCTTAGTTTTTCAAAAAGAAACATCTTCAATAGAGTTGGTCGTCACTTTTTTCAACTAAGTCAATGTGAACGAAACTTTGAGTGAATGTTCTTCTATATCTAAGAAATACACTCAGTTAGCACAAAGAGTTCTGTACAGAGACCTAGGTTTACTAAAAAACGTGTTTTTTACGATTTTTCGTGGTTTTTTTGTTACAGAAGCACTCTAAGAGAAAAATAAACACATATTTGGAATCACTGTAAAAAATTGCATCGACTAATATACCATTTGTGAATTATTTAAATAAAAAGTTTTCATAATAGTTTCGGGTAAGGATCTCCCCAGAGATTTTCCATCGTATATCGTCTTTCGTTTCAAATTTTACTGTTTTTCATCAATCTTATATTTACTTTTTCTATGAAAAAAATTCACTCGACAGACAATAAGTCATATCTATGTGCTTGATAAAAATAGCCTACTATGGAACAGATACACGTCCCGCGAACTCTATTCAAGAATAATAGCTAGGTATAACTTGATTATTTTACTCGTATTTTAGGAACAGCTATCAGGTTTCAATTAGAAAATTCCATGAAGAATTTAAAATATACGGTTGGGGTCCGGGATCAAAATTTTTTGAGCCCGATAGCTTCTAATCGTCGTTAGAGTTCATTGAACCTAATATATGTAAAAGGAACTGAAATTTCGTTTTGTAGTCTTAAATTATATTGTGATAAAGTCTAATTTATTTTTTTGTTATAATTTTATTTATCGTAGCGCCGTCCGTCGACCTTATCAATACGGCAGTAAATGAATTTTATCCAAAATTATATGAATGTCGAAAAGTAAGCCAAATCAATGAACAACTCCATTAAATACAATAATTCGGCTTGCTTGTTTTTCTTCTTTCGAGATAACCAACTCGTTTTTCTTTTCCTTGGACTGTTTATATGAATATCATTCGAAAACCTTTTTTCTGTCTCTCTCTCTCCACTGGTTTTCTCAATATCTTTTTGCTCATCTATCAAAATAAAGTCACATAAGTTCTTTTTTTTTTCTTTATTGTTATTCAATTTTGTGTGTATGTGTATATCTCTTTTTCTCTCTACAGATTGTATTTATATATTTATATATGTATAAGTAAAGAGAACGAAAATTGATGTTGATGAATAGAGCCAAAGCGAAGAAATTTCCTCATATATATCTTCTAACTCCAATTATATCATATGTTTCGATGTGAATTTTCTTGTTTTGTGTGTATGCCACATTCTAATAGCCACTATATAAGTTGACGCAATGCATATTAACAAAAAAAAAACAAAATATATAAAGTTTGATATTTTTTTTCTCTCCTTTTCTTGTTAGGCCATGTCTATCATTTTCTTTTTTTGTTTTAAATCTATATCTATATCTATTTGTTTTGGTTTTGTTTTCTTTTGTGTATGCGCATTATTTGAATTTATTGGTATACAAATGCAAAAGAAAAACAAATGTAAAGTTGAACAAGCAGACAATAACGAAAATGATTTGAAGTTATATTTACATGCGTGTAATAGTCTTCATTTTGTTTTTCGTTCTTTAGATAACAATGTTTTTAAGAAAATGTTTTGGACTTTCTATAATAGGAAAACAATTTGGAACATGTTTATATCGACGATTAAGTATGACACCATTATCGAGTATGAATATTAAAATTTTAAAGGAAACCTTATAATTTTCTATTTTCTCTTAGCCAGTATATCTTCTTCAATTGAATACCAACCTATTAGAATTCGTATACCTTTACCTCAACAATTACCATCCAAACAAACAGTTCCGATGCCTGCTACACTTCCAGCGTCGATAACAACAACAAATACAATATCTATATTAGATAAATGTTCTTTACATGATGATCTTCTTTATTATGATTGTCCATCGATAACAAATGAAAAAATTCAATGTGCTTGGACATCAACAAATTATCGTTATAAACGTCAAAGACGTGTACGTAATCATCCGAGTCGTTTAACAAATACTGTTGCATATCGTTCACGTCGTATGCGTTTACATCATAAAAAGAAATGGTTAAAAAAGTTTAAATATGATTTACTTAAAAAATTACGTGAAAAAATAAAACGTCGAGGTAAATTATATGATATGGAAAATTCAATTATACTTGGTAAAGCTGAACAATTCAATGCTGAACATTATGTCAAACGTGAATTAGAAAAAGCAAGATTTTATGGTTATCGTGTATCACCTATTTATGATCAAATACGAGATCAGATAAACCATCTTAAAATAGAATAGATAAACTGATCTTTTTTTCTTTGTTCTTGCATTGTTAAAGATTTTTTTTGTCTGTTTTTTTGTTATTTCATTGATTTAAAGATTAGAAAGAACAACAAAAAGTTTTTAAATGATGTTTGTAAGCAAAAGAAAGGTGTTCGCTTATATGTCACAGTTCAAGTCATTAATGAGAATAACGACAAGAGCGTAATGTAAGAAAGCAAAAAAAAAACTGCTTTATACTTTTCAATAATGTTTTACATTGAAGTATATAGGTGATTCGTCACGCACTGATGCACAACAATATCTTTTTTCTTCTTCTTGTTCTTCGTCTTTCTTCTCATCCTATTCATCTAACTACACATCCAAGTTCATATCAATATACTAAAAATAGAAAATAATGATAACAAGAACAAATCCTCAGTCCTTCTATTCATCAGAACATAACAATGATGAACAACTATTTGCTAACGAACAAATACAACGTTATGACGCAGATACAATAAAAAATCGTTATGGTGATAATTGGAGAAATTATGCATCAAATGTACGTGAAATAAAACAAGCAGACGGATCGATTGTGCGAGGTAAATACATACGTCGTTTTTTCCTTTTATTTATTCATATGATAAAATGACGCAAATAACATGTTGTTTTTTTTTTTTTTGTTTTTTTTTCTTCAGAATATATTATTGACGATCCAAATTTACTTCAAGAAATAAAACCATCATTAAATCCAACATCAACAACAGGTTCAGACGGAGAACAACAATTATCAAAAAATAAATTTGCTCAAATAAAAGCTAAATTTGAAGGAAAATCTTCAACAACTATTATGGCCTCACCATCATCATCATCATCTTTAGCTAGTAGTAATACAACAACAACACGTCAAATTTCTGATCAACAAGCAAATGATTTTTATATAAGAAATCGACAAGTATCAAATGATTCATCAACAATTAATCGAACTAATATTGAATTTCCTATTGGATCTCGAATATCTTCAAATGCAAGTCAAAATACTACAAATAGTCAACATTCACATTCAACATCAAATTCATCGGTTCGACGTTTGAATTCAGTTGATGACGCTGATGAAGAAGTTCAACGTATACATCGACAAGGTCAAGAATATCGTCATCATCAAGAAACATTAACACCAATATCATCAATACCTGAAATTAAACAACAAATGAATCCTCAATATGAAATTATTGATGAAGATGGAAATCCAATATCAATTGATGGTGTTGGTGATTTAATTAAAATGTCAGGTGTTACAGCACGAGAAGTTCAACAACCTGATGGTACATTTGTTCGGGAGTATGTTATTGATGATCCAGAAGTATTATCGAAAATTCGTTCACAACAATCACCAATGATTTCTCAACAACAAATATCACGTGAAAATATTCCACCACCACCGCCACCACCACCACCACGTATGCCAGTAAAACAACAGCCAATGGTATTTCATCATCAAGGTTCATCAATACATGATCAACAACCATCTATAAATATTGAACATATACGTGTACTTGAACCACAACGTCGTTATCAATATATAACAACATCTGGTAAACGTATTGAATTTATGATTACAAATTTAGGTCCAGATAATCAAACAATTAATGATTCGGATATTCGTGAATTATCTAATGCAATTCATACGCGTCTTATACCACCATCATCAGCACCGTTAATTTCAAATACAACACAACAACCATTTACTTTACCTAAACAATGGCATCCAGCTGTTGATTTAACACATCGTGAGGGACAACTACGACAACGAACTGGTTCAGATAGTCAACCAATGCCAAATAATTATAATATGAATTTTCAACATGTACAACCTATGCAAATGGATTTACCTCGTTCAACATCTTATGGTGCAGTTGATCAAGGAGCCTATCAACAACAATTTGCACCGATTTTTACAGAACCAATTATTGATTGGAGTGCACTTCGCCAACAAGATCCACATGGTCAAATTGATCCTCAACTTATACAACAATTTATTGCACAAAAACATCAAAATGAAGGTTTTCAAACATCAGCTCAATTTTTACCTGAACAAAGGCAACAACAACAACAACAACGCCAACAGCCTCTACATCAACAACCAATGACGAGATCAATGCAGTCACCATCAACATATAACGCACCACCATACTATCAACAACAAGTGTCTTACCCTAATCAAGGACAACAACAACAAGTGTCTTATCCTTATCAAGGACAACAACAACATGGTGTTAGAATTATTAATAATACTAATAATGATATAAATTATAATCAACAACAACAGCAACAACAACAACCGACTATGGTTGCTTACGACCATGCTAGAATTTAATTTCATTATAAAATACACATTTCTATTTTTTAGAATGAATACGTCTTTTGTTGTAAAGATAACATTAAGATTTGTTTTTTTCATTTATACATGCGAACGTCTTTAATAAGTCTTCTTGTTGCTTGTCTATTTCATGTACTTTATTGCAGTTTTTTTTCTCTTTCTCATATGCTCTTAAAAAAGAATACAATTATCTTGTTTAATTCGTATTTCATTTAACTATGTGTAATGTCTGTTGTTCATGACAAAATAAATATGGACTATAATCAAGTAATGCATTATAGCGAAGTAAAGACATGTGAAAGTTCATTATATATTACATGTTGTGAAAAATTAAACTGAAGAAAGAAAACAAAACCATTAACAAAAGAATCTTTTCATGAAAAACTTAAATAATTAAAAAGTAAAAGATCATCTTATAAGATTTTCATAATACTTCTCTTTGGAACAAGTGTTAAAGAATTACGGAAATAATTATTTTCAAATATCATTGATTGTTACACAAAAAAAATGCCGTGTAAAATCTGAATTATTTGATTCAATGAAAAGAAATGAAATTTTTAACTAAAACAACCTATATTTTACTTATATGTAAAGAATAAGCAAGGAATTTCATCTTATTTTACAAAAAGCGTTATTGATGTTATATATGAAATAATGAATCATTTTGATTATATTGATATAAAAATGTTCTATATGTCTTACACTCCAGTCTTCTTATGAAAAATGATTATAATATAAAAGTTTCTCGCTTTTTATATTATCAAAAGTGACAATGGAAATGTATCAGCACATTATTTTTTCTATTGAAAAAAAAAACTCTGTAGAAACATTGATTAATCGATGTTTCTTCTCATTTATATATTCTAGTGATGCTGTTTGAAAATATAGTAGATCTATAGATCATTTGAATATAGAAAGTGATGAACGTATCTTTTCTTGAACATATTTTTACACAGTTCAATATTACTCATTTGTCTTACTAAGATATATTATATTCCTAATAGTGTTTTTGACAAGACAAATCATCCGTTTCACAAATAAGTAATGAATCACATTCACAATACGTTTGTTGATCGTCTGATAGTCAAACGAGTTTACACAATCTGTTGTTCATTGATTATATAAAAATATTCTCGAATTAGTAGTATTATTTTGTATGGAAATTCACTTTCCATTTATTATTTGAACTAAAAGAAATGAGAGAATGACTAGCAAAGTGAATGTAGGATGAAAATCAGGGCAAAACTAAGGTGAGAGTAGGTTAGTGTCAGTGTCTTCGCTATATTGTAATCCCTATCACATCCACTCTCACTGCGCATTTCTCTTCGTCTAACAGAAAAATAACCTTCAAACAAGAAAAAAGACTAATTAGAATACATATATATATCTGTTATTTTTCTTTTATGTAATCAATGGACAGTAAGTCTGTTGTCAGGACATCATGCACTCAAGTGAATATAGTATTCGAAGAGAATTAATGTGTTGTTAAGGATGATTTCTCTTTTTTCATCTTCTTTCTCTTTTCTTTTCTCTTGCACAAAAGCTGTTTGCCACTACCAAGTGGCATCGCTTGGTGTCTTTCATTTTGTTTTCTTTTTGATGTTTTCTTTTCCACCATTATCTTTAACGTAAGTAATCAATTCTACGGTACAAAGAATAAATTTATTCATGTTAAACGTCTCAATAGAATAGCAAACTAGTAAAACATAAGATATATTAACAATAAAATAATCTCATAGGTAATCTAACGATTTGACTTGCATGTAGCAACTTTTATTTTGCTTGCAATAGAAATCCAGTAATGGATGTTAACTATCAACATCAAACACAATAATCTTCAAGTATTATGTACACAAAATTTTCTATTAACAAAGAAACATGTATTTCAACAGAGAAAAAAGAATATAAGACTACAATATACTACTAATCACCAAAATAGTACATTAATTTTAGTGGAATAATTTGATTTATAATTTTTGTAGGCTTTTTTCCGTTATAGGAAATAATGACGTCATTGCTTTGTTTTTTTTTATAATATTTTCTTGACTTTTTTGAAACACATCTTTCTTTTTAATAAACATTTTGTGTACATAACGTGTGAAGATTATTTTACTTTATGTATGTAGTTTACATCGATTGTTGAGTTTCTCTTCTCCATAAAGTAGAACTTGCCATATACAAGTCACACTATAATATTACTCATGAGATTATTTTATTGAAAATATGTCAGGTGTTTCTCTTGTTCGCTATCTTGCCGAGATATGTGCACGAATGGATTTGTTCTTTGTACTGTAGAATTTATTATTTATGTTGAAGAGAAAGACGGAAAAAAAACATCAAACAAAACAGAAAATGAAAGAGATAAAATGTTGTGACTTGATAGTGATGAGCGACTACTGTGTATGAGAAGAGAAGATGAAAAGAGCGAAGTCATCTTCAACAGTAATAGATGAACTCTCACTGTGCAATATTTTTGCAGCTGAGTGACTCACAAAAGATTTTTCAAAATGATTCATTCTGTAGGAGTCAAAGACACAATAAATGCTAGAAAGTAAGGCAAAATTCTTATAAGGAAAAAAATGATATATCAAGCAAAGTATTTTTATATTTGAGTATAATTATAATTAAAGAGTGAAGATCATTGTAAAATTCAAAGAATATATAATTGAATAGTTTCGACTTAACTTTTATTCACTAATATTAAGTCAAAGATGAGCATAGTTTCTTTTTAATCAGTTGAATGAATTGAATATTTATTTGTTGAACATAGTATGAATTGGGACAAATTAGAAGAAAGAAACTTTTTTCCTACCAGGTATGGAAGAAGAAAATACATATTTATCATAATAATATGTCATTCCTATTTTAAAACAATAGATTGAGGTTGAGAAGTTCAGATTATAGTATTCAAAATGTTATTATCAATTAGTGCCGAAGTCTATAGCAAGGAAGTTGCGAACTCTTCCGTCCTACAGATTCTGACAGATAAAAATATCAGTTATGATTTTTCATTAAAGAAACTTCGATAATATCTGATAGGTCTTTCGAAAAATCTACAATAGCTTACTACTATGCACAGCGTGATATTTTGATCTTATTTACGAAACTTCCATTTACTAAAAGCCTTCTTTCTTTTTTAATGAAAAATAGAATTAGCTTCATCGAGTTTTGTTGCTAATATTCCTTATGATGCTTGAAAGAAACGGTTATAAGAACTCTGTTCAATCTCTTTGTTGAAAAAAAAGACTGTCTATTAGTAATCAAATTAAGTGTTATAAAAAAAAAACAGATATGCCAATAGACGACATTTTTCTTATGTTATCCGAATGAAAATCAATTAGGTTTTCTAGAATAACACAAACATTATCAAGTCAGCCGTTAACTAGCAAGAGGAATTTTTCTTTTTCCTGTTTGAAATAGCGATTTTAAACAAAAATTTTGTTTACCTATTCTATTAGATTAGTCATGAAAACTTAACTATTTTAAATCTTCGGATATAAACTATTATCTTAAAAAACAATACGAACATAGTTTTTACTTGGAAAATCCAGACATCCGAGAATGTCATTTTATTTTATATGTATATTAATATATTCCATATATTAATAAATATGTGAATGATAGTGAATGCATTCAAGATGAGAATCTATCTTTTTTTTCCTTCGTCAATTTTTTTCTTCAACTCTCTTTTGTCAAGAGAAACAGACAAAATCAGCCATCAGATTTCAGAAAAATGATGTAAAGAGAGGGGAGAAAAAAAGCAACTAAAGATCTATCCTATCGGGACATGTCATTACAATTGACTTAAAATGATGAACATATGAGAAAATATGAATACGAAATATGTTATCTGAACCTATCGAAGTAAGTACAAAAGGGTTAATGGATAAATTTTCTTTTTGTTTTTGATTCTTTCTTTGAGTTGGAAAGAGAAGAAAAGCTAGAATTTTTTTTCTTCGAAAGAATAAAAATATGTTATAGAGTCGCGTAATCAGATTGTTTTCTATACAAATGCTATACTCAGAGAACTTAATAAGTTCTCACGGAATTCCTGATTTATGATAGAACTTAATGAATGGTATTACCTTTTTTTTTGCCATTTACTTACGAGAAAAACGGACGGAAATATGTTATACTATTAAAGGTCCACATACACTAAAATCTAATCAAATGTTATTGAATTCGTTTGACGTTTATTTCTTGACATAGATTATGGCAAATAATATGCCTTCAATCCATCCTATGCCTAGATTTGTTATTGATCATTGTTCATCAGAAGAGAATGAAGAATTTATCAAAACAACAACAACAACAGCTACAACAACCTTACCATGGAAAAAACAAGCTGTATCACGTTCATTAAGTCTACCAAATTATACTGAAACATATAAAGATTTATCCGGTGCTATACATTATTCGTCATCAAATTGTTTGAAAAATTACTTTATTCGATCATATTCATATCCAAATAATTATTTTTCAAATGAAAAATCATTTTATTCACCATCAATATCTACTAAAATTAATGTTGCTATGGGTTTTCTTGATCCAAATAATGGTACATGTTCTCCTGCTGCTTCATCATCACGTTATTCATTATATGGAAGTTTTTTTGATCTTTCAGAATGTGGATATCATGGATCATACGTTAACCCAGACAATAGATTATTAACTAGTGATGGATATTCACTTTTAACTGTCGATAATTCATCGAAATTACCAACACATACATATCAAGATAAATGTAATGATTGGCTTAGTCATCTTGACACTATATAAATTTTATTTGAAATATATACAATGAAAAAAAAAAAAACGAACAAGTTCGATAGTAATCATGATTATTAAGACATTGATATATATATGTATAATAACTTTATTTTTAAGTCCATCTTGACCCAAAAAAAAAACCACACCCGAGTCTTTTCAGTTTAGTTCTCTTAGAATAGCGAATCACAATGGGACAATTGAATGATGATTACTATTAGAATGAGTGA